CTCAATCTAGCTACACTTACTGATTCATAAATGTAGCTTTATATTTAGTACTTCTTTCCAGAATAGGTATTCGGCTAAAAGCATCCATTTAAACCAGATCAAGTGAAAGTGCAGCTTTGTTAATAATCTGGAACTACTTTATACATAATCTCGTTTAAAGGACAAAATTTTTGATCCAACCCTTCATTTCAATTTTTCTATATTTTTGTGCACTGTTCCAGTACATGCATGTGAAAGCCATAAATATGTTTTCCAAAAGTAGTTACAATGTTCTGGAAGTATTAGGTAATGATAAGAAGACAATTTTTATTGCTTGAAACATCTTGTCTTTGAATGGCAAAGTACCCATCATTTCAATTTTTCTGTATTTTTGTGCACTGTTCCAGTACATGCATGTGGAAGCCATAAATATGTTTTCCAAAAGTAGTTGCAATGTTCTGGAAGTACTGGGTAATGATAAGAAGACAACTTTTATTGCTTGAAACATCTTGTCTTTGAATGGCAAAGCAATTATTTAAAGTATGTCTGTAGTTAATCATCTACATCCTGCAATGTCTTTGTGCTTACCGTAATGGTGACATGAAACTATAGCATGATGTACAGAATTATTGAAAATATGGGCAACACAATGTTATTATTAGTCATTGATTTTAAATTTAGTCCAAACATTATCCACATCAGTTCGACTTTGCTTCCAAAATTTGTTGCTGTTTTAACAACGGCAAAAAGAATTAACTTGTTTAACAAATTATTTAAAACATTGCGGATGTAATTGAAGATTGTATTTAAACTTTCGTTAGATTGATCTTTAATATTCAATAAGTGTACTTGAATTCTGCCCATTATTGGTTATTGTCACCTATTATTGCACTTGTGTATCTAACTTCAGTTAAATCATAAAATTGTTTGATGAGTGTAAGGTTCTAAAATGTTTTTTTAATGTTATAGTTATTATTATAGCAAGTAAGAAGTTTTCCTTTCACATTCTTTATCTAATTGTTATAGTTTTTGTTCCATACTCCTTCCTCCTTTAATTTTTGCTTCCTACATCTCTATTTTTTGCTTCTCTCTACCAATTCCTACAGCCTAGCATTTCTTTTGCATCAATATCAATCGTCTCTTTTAATCTTTTCCGTGGCCTTCGTTTCAGTCTCACTCCTTGCATTTTTCTGTTTATTAACACTCTAAGGAGTCTTTCTTTTATCATCCTCAAAACATATTTCAGTTCTGCTTTAAAGCATGATGATAGTTTTTATTTTTTCCTTATTAATTCTTTCATTATTTGATATGTTTCCTCTGCATCTTTTAATGTTCTGCTCATAATGTAGATTCCATCTGCATAAACAATCAATTGATCCCTCTCCTTGTATTACAAGCATATCTTGTGCTTATTAGAGTGGATTTTATTGATTTTACTTGTTTTGAAGATTTGTTAAATTCTTTAAGGACGTCAAACAGTTGCTCTATTGCAGGAAGCTATTATGTCATAATACATTCCTTCCAAATATTTTTAAATTCTTCGATGTCACCAATTTTTTGACCTTCGTGTGTCTGTGTGGCGAGGCTTAAAATTCCTGTCTGTGCATTTCTTATAAAGTAGTTCAAAACATGTTATCCCTGCATTATTTGTTGAACCTCGGTTTTGCTTTTCTTTTCTTTTTGTTGCCACTTTCCAGATTTTTTTGGTAGTAGTGATTGTAGCTGCTTTAATTCAATTCTGTATCAATTCTATTCCAGGTTGTGCAATAATAGATGCTAACTATTAGCATTTGCTTTGTTCTGGGAGTACTGGTTAACGATACCAAGTCATCTATTATTCCTTCAAACATCTTGTCATTGAATGACAAAGCATTTATTTCAAATGTATCTGTAATGAATCGTCTACATTCTTCAATGCATTACCGTAAAGGTGGCAAATAATAAAGTAAAGGTGGTTCAATAATACAGCACATGAACTTCACGTTTTAACGCGTTCTGATTGTTTTGTGGTTAACCATACGTAATTTTTTGAAAAGTGATAGTTTTTTAGCAAAAATCGACAGAAAGATATTAGACAGGATAATCAAGACGTTGCATCCTCAAGAAATGTTTAAGTTACTCATATTATTATATTTGGTTATAGAGGCTGCTGGATGGATTAGATTATGCTGCTTCTTTAAGTGATTGCTGATCTGATTCTTTCCTGTTATGGAGGCGTAATGTCTAAAAGATTTATTTGGATTGTTGATCATTAAGGATTATCAGTTATGGTAGCAGCTTTGCTTGGACATTTACATTTCCCGAAATCAAGAGTCCAGGATGATATTTTCGGCATTGTTAAGTTAATGTTCTGCCAAAATAACAGCATTCAATTTCTTATGAAAGCATCTGGAGTCTTCTAGGGAGCAAATTAAATATTTGGGGAACGAATTTTGCATTCACTAATCGCAGTCTTTAAGGTCAACTCTTTTGATCTTTTAATTAACGCATTCCATGATTACTTTTTTTAGCCATATTGCTATGTTGTAGTCGCCCAGACCACACTAATTGTCTATTTGAGGTTCAGAAAAACTACTTTTGTGTAATTGTCAGGTATTATTACATTATTTCGTTTGTTAACATTTCCAAATATCTATTATCAGTTAAATTAGTTAATTAAAGATGTAACAAATATATCAAAAATGTTCGTACCAATCAAACCATACAAAAGATTAAAACCAAATCGAACCTGATCAGTGATGGGCGCTGGGTAAATACCTGACGGGTAGGTATTTAGAAAATGGGTATTTATCCGGGTATTTACCCCGGCCCAGGGTAAATACCCAAACGGTACGTATAAAAGTGATACAAGTAAAAATATATCAGATTCCGAAAAAATGAAGAGGAAGATGATGAAATGGACGTTGAATTATTATTCTTCTAATTATTATTATTATTATTATCATAAAGCCATTGTTGGACATAGGCTTCCCCTATTCTGTGCCATTCGATTCTATTCTGTGCTGTCTGAATCCAATTGTTGAGCTTTGCCACAATGTTGACCACATCATTTGCGCCAGTTCTTCTTCATAGGTCTTCATTTCGGTCTTTGCGTTACTTTGAGCCTCCTGGCAGTGGCTACCATTAATGTTAATGTTTCGGAGCCTTATGTCATAAGCGGAAACACGCATTGATTGAAAGCCTTTCTTTTCAAATATATCGCTCTTGAAGATGTCTTTAAGTTTCCTGTAGGCTGTTCAGTTCGCTTGTTTGATTATCTCTCGATACAGGAACCTCATGGCAAAGATACACATCTGTCAACCCTCTCAATCTCATTATCCCCAATGTTGATGGTAGACTTGAGAACAAGATTTGTCATAAATTTTGATTTCTTTGCGTTTATATTTAGCCCGACTGTTGCACACACCTCCTTTAAGTCGTTTACCATTAGTTTCATCTCTCCAAGGCTATCCAAAATAAGAACTATATCGTCCACGTAGCGTAAATTACTTAGGTATTTGCCATCAATGTTGATGCTTTTTTGGATTAAATCCAGTTGTTTAAATACATTCTCCAGGACTGTGATGAACAATTTGGTTCAACATTGTATCGCTTTATTTTACTCACAATCAGTACTTTACTATTTCTACTCTCTTCAGTACTTTTATGCAATTTTACCGTCAGTGTAGCATTCTTGTAGATGTTATAAACCAGTTTGGTGTATCGATAATCGACTCTGCATTCTTGAAGTGCTTGCAAAACTGCCAACAACTCAATTTAAATGGGTAAATACCCCCGGGTATATATCCAGGAAATTTACCCTTGAAAATAAATACCCGGGTATTTAACAACACTGAACCTGATTGACCAAATATAGTTTTCAATTAATGTCAAAAAATGATCGTATCAAAAGATGGATTCACAAGCTCGTTATGGTATATCAAGAGCATCTCGCAAAGCTTGTGCAGCTGAGAGTACAAACCAAATCGTGTTGAGAAAGTTACTTGGATGTGGCAAAGGCAGAGAATTCGCATATGATGTAATTGAAGAGTTATGTCATATGTAGAATGAATCAAAAATTGTACATAAAGAAAGAGCTAACCAAGAAATAGAGATGTTATCTAATTGATTGGTCTTTGTCAAGCTACGTTTGGATGTAAAGGTTTAAAATCGTTTCTGCCAACTTTTGATTCATTGTCAGAAATGACAAGTAGATAAGGTTTTGAAACACCAGACTTGTTAAGGAATATGTCAAATCGTCAGAATTAGGAATTGATAAATTTTCTTAAGAAAAATTTTTGAATACGGTTCTGTATTAGATCGCTATCGTTACGGGGTTTCTTGTGAAACACCTGGTCCATAGAGGACGAGGTGTGTTCGAGTGAGAGAGGTAAAATCGTGAAAGGAGCAAGACAAAGAAGAAGGTTCCCGACGGCCGGTCTGGGTCATCCCGGGTCGGGAGACAGCTTGGCGACATGCAGTCGACGTTTGTAAACGTTGGTGGGGCCCTAACGCCCCGTGCACGTCTTTACGAAGACGTAACCGACGACGCACACACGCACATACACGCCACTTTAAGTTTCCATCGAACGATGTAAAGTCTTCGGAAACCGTGCGCTTTTTACCCACCAAAATACGACACGGTTTCTTCTTTCGTCTTCGTTTCATTTCTTCGAAATACGAAACCCGAAAATCGAATCCGCGCTTTGTTTTCCATCCCGAGGGACCGTCGTAAATCACGTTACCCGAAGACCCAAACAATGTTTTTATTATATCTTTTTTTTTTTTAAGAAAATACTTTTTTGAATTATCTACTTACACGTGTTTTAGTTTCGATTTAATTAAAATTTAAAGTATTATGTAAACTGTTAAAGATGAAAAAGTAATTATTAGTTCAATTAATTATTTTTTAAACGCGATAAATAAGTAATTATAAAGACATTGCTACTAAATATAGAAAATAATCTAATAAATGTCTGTTTTGTAAACACCGTTGGAGGAATTGGCTTTAACTTTAAAGGGAAAAGTTGTTAACGACTTACTTGTAATTCTAGGGCGATTGCTTCTTGGCGGCATAAAAAGAAGGAGCAAAAAAAGAATAGTAGGGTCGGCGGCCACATTTCGTCGTCCGGAAGGCGTTCCTCAGGGTTTCATTTCAGACGGGAACTTTCACCGAATGCAAAATAAACAAAAATAAAAATCGAATTTCAAGCTACGGCTACGGTGGCGTAGCGCACGCGGGAGAAAATCGTTTTCGGGTTAGCTGCGCTTGGAGGCACGGGGCTTACTGGTGCGACCGTCAACGGGCGCCGTTTCTGAAACGCTCTCAGGTTCCCCCATTCCTCCGATACTCCTCCGATGATGGTCGGTTTAATAAATTGTGTTTGTGTGAGTATGTGTGATCGGGTCACACTATCGGGTCGACGATGCTAATTGTTATCGAACGTTCGTTTTCTTAAACATTTAAACACTTCATCATAATCTTTTCACCTTTATTTGGAATTAAACGAGTGGTGATTACTCAAAAACTAAAATGATATGTTATTCATCAAAACTGTTTATAATAAACGATAAAGATGACTATTTTCTTGGTACAAAACAAAACGGAAGATTACACAGCAAACCACAAATTTCACCACAACTTGCTTTAATAAAACCTATGTATAAATTAAATTTTAGAACTTCTCTAACAAAATACATAATTGATTATTAAAATGTAAGGAATGGAAAAAAACATGAAAAAGCCATAATTCTCTACAGTCACTAAATCTTAATCTCGATATAATACGATGTACATACAACAACTACTAGAAGATCTAGAAGATCCTACATCACTCTTCGATCAATGTCTAAGTTGTCCTTGATTTAGACTCAACTAACAACTTCTTAACTCAACGGGGACCAAGCTGTGCGCACCAGGCAGATATCAAAATCCGGCTAGCCATTAACAGTTGTAAAGTTCACCATAAACAAAATCAACTATAAGGACGAGATTCCTAAGGTGTCTATCTCACCTACTAAGGATGATTTTATCATTAACTACTACTGCCTCGACCAACAACGCTTTCAATTGACCATTGAAGCAGGATCTATTAGAATCTCAGCATTTCGATGCTCTACTAGGAAAAGACCATCATTGCTATTCAGAGCTGTTACAAGTACAAAGAAAAAGTACTCCCAGTAACCAATACAAGTTGCGCTATAAATTATTTTTACTCCAAGTAGTAAGTAACAAGTATTTTTAATAAGTACTTGGAGTAATAAGTAATTTTACTTGAAACTAAAATTTCAAGTACCCTGTACAAAGTAATTACAACCCGTGAATGTACATATATCTAGTATTTTTAAATAATTCTCCTGTACTGAGTGGTAATCACACGCGGTGGAACTTGAATCTTATCATTTTCCAGAAATGTCTACACATATTTTGGTTTTTATCAGGTTTTGCAAAATTTCCCAAATATATCAAGAGATTTTGCAACAATTTCCTAAAATGTTCAGAAGACATCCTGTTATTTCTGAGTGAATCGAAAGCTTTTAAAGGAGTTTTACAAAAATTGTACGAATTTCCAAGAATATCCAAGAAAAAACGATATCCATTAATAATATCTAGGATTTTAACGATTCTCAAAGATTCATATAAGCATTTCCAAATAGTCCCATAATATTTTCAAAGATACCGTCCAGATTTCTCAGGATTTTTGAGGAATCCAACGAGTTTTCAGAGATTTCTATAGATATTCAGGTTTTCTAATAGGTTTTATGAAAATTTCTAAATACATCCAAGGTTTTGTAGCAATTTCCTAAAATTTTCAGAGATAATCAAATATTTCTAGAGATTTCAAGGAATATCCACAGATTTACGAATTTCTTAGGATTTTTGAATGTATCCAAGGTTTTTGAATAATTTTTAGAAAAATTGGAAGGATTTCCATGGATATCTATGGATTATTACGAATATCAAGGATTTTTAATTCTTCCCAGATACTTATGTAAGCATTTCTTGGTATTTCCAGCAGATTTTCAAAAGATTTCAACGAACTTTCAAGTATACCATAAAAATTTCTCAGAATATCTAAGGTTATCTAGGATTTTGCAGAGATTTCTACAGAATTTCAAGTTTTTAGAAGATTTAATATTAATGTCCAACCGTATCTAGGGATTTTGGAACGATTTCCAAACATTTTTATATACTACAAGGTATTTCTAAACATTTTAAGGAATTTAGACACATTTTCAAAGCTATCCATCGATTTTACGGATATCTTAGGATTTTTGGGTATATCCAATGTTTTTGAATAATTTTTTAGAAAAATTAGAAGAATTTCCAAGGATATCCAATGATTATTACGAATGACCAGGACTTTTAATTCTTCCCAGACACTTATGTATGCATTTTTTAGTAATTCTAGGAGATTT